CTATTCCATACAAATTATTTCTTTCAACTTGTCAACTTACCACACCTTAGTAGTTGATGAAATAAAGGCAGCACAACTTCCTTACTTCCAATCTGTTGTGAAAATTATTCTTGTGTAGTCTACGCTCTCATTATCTAATTAATCATGCACATTACTCACTCAGAGTAAACAAGAGGCACAAATCCGTTGTGTTCTTTGCTTGACTCATGCTTTTTTTTTGCTGTACATCCACCCCTACTCATCAGCCAAGCCTGGGTTGTCGACACTCCAGTCCCATCCCATTACTTCATAGTTGCTTCAAGATGTAAGGAAGACATCAGTTTAACAATGTGCTCCTTACATTCACTTGAAGTGGTGTCCTTCGTTCTGCCCAATACTGACACCATCAGAATCTGCAAGGTATGTTGCAAAGGACACCAGATTGAAATCAGTGTATACTGTACTTGTAGGTTCTAAATCTTAATTTAAGCAACTTTTATATGCGACTGAAAGTTTAAATTTGGCTCAGCCTGTTTAAGCAGAAAACAATTAAACACTGAGTGTAAAATGCTGCCCTGTGATCTTGGCTAACAGAACGGGACTAGAATAACCAATTGAAAGTTGAACTTGTTTCAAGACTTGATTTCAAACGTTTCCTGGAACTTTCTCTACAGACATTTGATGACTACCTTTGGACCCACATGACATCACTTCAAGACCTAGAACTGATCACAGGACTACAACTGTTCCCTGACATGAGTGCTGATGAAGAACTGAAAATTGAATTCCTTCAATTCAAAACAAAGATGCCAACAACGTCACCGTGGATGGCGTAACCTCAGGTTGGAGACAACTTTTGCCAATGTTTAAAACCAAAAATACAAACTTTACATAAACCAGGAAGTTGACAAAGTCCTTTGATAGGTGCAGCATTCAAGATATTCCATCTTCATATCACATTCCTCTTGTTTGTCTCTGTGCAAGCAGAAAAATTACAGTTCACTGTCTGAAGACCAAAATATGTTAGGTTAAGTTTCCAAACATTTGAACATTTACACTGAATGAATCCTTTCAAATCTTCAGAGGAACCTTAGTGGATTCACGCCTCAGGCTGAGTTTGGGGCAGGATTGAGGAAAAATTAGAGTTGAAAATGAATTTTAGTACATGTATTTAACAATTGTCTAATGATAGCTATATGCATCCATGCATAATTTTCTAACATTGCTTCGTGAAATCAAACCCGTGTGTATTCAAGAACAGAAGATGCAAAACAATGCACAACAAAATACAAAGGATGACTTTGAGATGTCTGTGCCAGTCAAAATAATGCTTGGAATTTGGAAGATAAATTACAGAAGGTATCAGCTTGATGACTTCATGCCATGACATTTTTGTACAATTGCAGGATCAGCTTGATGACTTCATGCCATGACATTTTTGTACAGTTGCATGATCAGCTTGAAGACTTCATGCCATGACACTTTTGTACAGTTGCATGATCAGCTTGAAGACTTCATGCCATGACATTTTTGTACAATTGCATGATCAGCTTGATGACTTCATGCCATGACATTTTTGTACAATTGCATGTTCATGCTGTCAAGTGTATTCTCGTTATGAAAAGCCACAAATGAAGAATTCTTTGTTCAACTCAATAAATATGTAAAATTGAAAAAATGTAAAATATGTGCCAATTATGCATTAATACTTCAAAACTGTGGTTTTGTGCAGAACAAGGGTGAATCTTGCAAAAGACGCACATTCATATTTACTGGAAAACTGTTTGAGTTTTTTCTTTCTTGTTTACTTTTCAGAATCATTTTGATGAAATTAACCAAATAGTGGCTGTATTCACACTTTTCAAAGGAGACTGAATGAATTTTCACAAGGCATTCTTCTTTAAATTGTAATTTGTCGTAAATGTAACATTTACAAGCACAGAAATTATAGTTGCACCAAGATAGTATCTGTGAAATATTTGACCGGTTTTTCATGGATAAATAGAATTAATAGCTGACTTAAAGCTTGTAGTTTGCAGTGGTTTGACTTAATTCATTTTATTGCTTGAGTGTATTTCAAATCTTTAATCAGATGTTGTAAAATCCTTTTAGTTTTAACCTGAAAGATTATCAGTTTGGGTTAAAAATGCAGGAACATTGTTCCTGGACTTTCTGACCTTTTTTTCTTTAAAAAACTAGCTTAGTTTACAGCTTATACAAATACATGGGTAGGCTGCTTTCTAAGGGTCATGGAATCAAAGCACAAAATGACCCAAAAATTCAAGGAACAGTGTTTGTATTTTGCATCAGGGCTCAATAAAAATTTATTCTATTTTTTCAAGGATTTCAGTGCTCAGTACTAAACTGAGTCAGTACTCACTGTTCAGGGTGGATTTAGGGGTTGTCCTTATTTCACTTCATCCAAGAAGGATTTTAAAATAATTTTCAGATTTGGTTTATAACATTTGCACAAATTATGATTCAATTCACTTTCATGCTATACATGTTATTTACATGTACCATATCGAACTCGAAATTTGTATACTTGGCAGGGAAACATTTTTACAATAGATTTTTAGAATGCACAGAATTTTTCTCTTGACATAAGATTACACATTGGTATTCAAATGTTATACATGCATTGTGTATGCAGGTTTTCCTCATTTTGTTCATGTGATTGATTGAATTTTCAATTCAGTTTTGATATTTTCTTTTATACTGGCTGCTAAATGTCAAAAGCTTTTCATACAGTCTAGACTGCTTGTAAATATTTGAAAACAAAACTTTATTTTAGAATGAGAGATGAGTAAGCTGTATATATTGGTTGAATCCTAAAACGTCAAAGATGTGATGAATGTAGGTATATTGTTACATTAGAAAAAAAATTAATGCCTTCAAAGAACAAGTTGCATCATCTTTTTTTCTTTTAAGATATTTTTCAAGATGTTAATAAAAATGCACAGTACTATTTTACTCACAGTTCACATGACTATTTTGTATTGATTTGAATTTTAAAAATGTTATGAAGAAAATTATAATTACTTATGAAATCAGTTGTCAAATATTCCAATTTTGGTAATGCAAGACTTTCAACTGTGTGTTTCATTTTATCTACATGGCTCATGAGATGCAGAAACTTCTAGTGGAAAATGAACCAATACAATACTAGCATGACTAGGCACAAAGCTGAAACATGTTAAAAACATTTTACATCAGTCAAACATGGCATATTTTTTGGCCCATATTTTATTTTTGTTCTGTTATCTTTGTAGTCTTCAGCAACCTGTGTGGGCTTTATTGTTCTATGGCCAATCCGTTTAAACAATTAAAACAGGTAACAAAACCTAATCAGTTACTTTCATCCAAAAGAAATTCTCAAAGCTCAGTACTTTTGAGACTACGGATGGGACCATTGCTTTTACATATACATGTACATTTATCCATATTCACCTGTTTCAAAAATCTGTTGGTCATTTTTACAGATTGGTGGACACAACTGTCTTATGCCAGGTTGATACCATTCTTCCTTTCTAACTAAATGTTGAATCTGTATGTGAATTGCAGTGTTATTCAGTGACTAGAATTAGAAGCCATTATTACAGTAGCACAACGTTCATGGACAGGTAGTACATGCATGTTTGCATTACATAACTCTTTGACCAATAGAGTATCATGATTTGCCAAATGCATACATTCATCAAGTGCAGTGCCGCCGCAGTAATGGCAACTCCTTAATTTAGTCTATTTATTTTGTTCTATTTGGCAACAATTTAAAAAGTTCAAGCACACATTAGCAGCACTTATTGCTTACCTGAAGAAAGTAAATATTTGTTTCCAAGCTCATTAAATTCTAAGGGCTATATGATGTGTTTGTTGAACCACAGAAGGGTAAATGTAACCCTTGACAGCTTGATAAAAAGGCTGAAAGGTCTAAATATACCCTTCTTACATCAACAAAAACTCGTCTCTCTGTACATTCCATATCCTTCACAACACAGTTGGGTGTCAGATTTTCATGCTGTGATATCCAATATGAAACCTACCAATATACTGAACCTGAACTGTGCGGGTACATTTAAAATTAAAAAAATGTTAAGAGCACTTTAATATGTTACTCTTTCACACAAGGTGCTAACAATTTCAATACAATGTCTAGCTTTACTACTCTTTCAGTGCAACGTGGCAAGGTTTAGAGGAATTATTACATCTGTTCGTCCGCAAACATTTGGGAAAACACAATGGCATAAATAGTGAACAAACAAATTTGAATAAAATTTGCATTTAAACACATTATGTACACTTTAAAACAGTTTGAGAAGAGTATTTCCAAAAGCCTGTCATGAAAAATAGACATTATTTGAACACTGTTTTAAATAAAAACCACACACACATGCACACAAAATTTGCATTTCGTGAAAAAGTCTTAGAAAATCCAGTTAACAAAATGTCAATATACATGTACTTCTATTGTGGCTGAATTTTAGTCCAAGGTTTTTGTGCAACAAAGGCAGCAATATTAAGGCACTTAAGTTTATATTTAGATGAACTTCAACCAAGAACGAAATATACATAGAGTACAGCAAACACTAAACATAAATAAAAGTGTATATACATAAACAGAAGTGAAATTGAAATGTATGGCAAAATACACACAAAAAGACAGTGATGCGTAGAATTCAATCGACTCTGTATGTAATGCAACATTTACACCACAGTGTTAACTTGTGTTGAAACAAAACAGCTCATTGCTGACTATTGCTATTCAAAAATTCACTAAATATCATTTGTACAGAAATATATTTTACAAAATCTGCATTTTAAAAGTAGGTGGGATTGAAATTGTAAGAACCTCTGCAAGGCAATTGGACCTTTTTGGTCCAATTTCCGATACTATTTTGTGATTGGTGCGTCCATTGGCTTTATCTCTTCCTTGAGCCATTTACAGCCGGTGTTCTTTTCTTTCCTTTTTCTCTTTGATGACCATTCAACAAAACCTCCTTTCCGTTGGCCAATTTTTTCAGTGACCCTTGACTTTCAACCTTGGTTGGTATATTCATGGTGACCTTTTTCTTGACCTCTTTGCCCTGGGGTTGGCTGTCAGCCTTGTTTCTGGTCTTATATCTTCCTTTGGACCCTGTAATATAGTGTGTAGGAATGTTACCTCAATGTTATACTGCTGCTATAAGTTCTCTACCAATGGTCTACACCAAGTTAATGTTTCCACTCAGCCTGTGTCCAAATCACTTGCCTATGGCAACAAATAACATGCAGGGTTATTATCAGGTTATGGAAGCCACGAGCTGGGGCTACTGCCATTTCCCATAGATTAGTGAGTTATTGCTAGCCGTAGCCAGGTTAATGGAAACAGCCTCATGGTTAAAGAAATACCCACGTTGATCCAGAACCCAGTCTCTGGTCCAATACTTACCTTTGTCTGATGAGTCAGTACCCTGTTCACTCTGTGGAGTCCTGCTAGATCTAGCCTGTGAGTTTTGTTCCTCAGTGTAGCTGTCAATAGCTGCAAAGAAAACCAGTGAATAAGAGTAATAAATCTGTAACGCACTGATCAATATAATGAAATAGGCCCAATACGGGCGTTTCACAATGCATGAAATCCGTCGACCCAATGCATGTTTGGATAGTGTCAACAGATTTCATGCATTGTGATTGGCCAACATATTACAGACTCAGTCTTGGAGGTGCACTATTGTGAATCACCTGTATTATATTGATCCGACTGCATGGCCATTCTCATCAATAATGCTTAAACACTTATTATTTCATAATCATTCAATCTGTGAAATAATCTTTTGACTCATTAATTGATCAGCATTATTCCCTATTTAAAACAAGAAGATACAGACACCAAGGATGCATGGAGACACTAACCGGACAATATGCTCGATGCTCTATCATCTCCATGCAGCAATTTCTGTTCTCTATCCAGTGCTGTCATATAGTCAGAATATTTCCAGTGAACTTTTTCTTGTCCTTCATAATCCTCCTCATCTTCTCCTTCATCCAAGAACTCGGCGAAGACACTGAAACGGCGACTCAAGGACTTGGAACCTATGCTGTTTTGGTCATCTTCATCCTTACGGGCCTCCTTAAAAATTGAAGGACACAATATAATGTGAATGTGAAAATGGTCATTATTCCAGATTAAGTGGAATTAGAGAAGTAAAATCAGACCTAATCACCTGACTGATAGAGAGATTCTTACCTTCTCTTCCTCCATTCGCCTCATCTCCATCTCCTTACGTCGTAGTTTCTTTCTCTTCCTCTCGAGATCATACAGCATTTTCTCTTCTGACAGGGAAGTGCGATATTTCTGGAAGTCAGCCCAGTGTTGAAACAGTACCTTGAAAACTGTCATCTGCAGGCAAAAGCACAAAGAGGAGCTTGGTTTTAAATACATGTATTAAAAAAAAGGAAATGTTGGGGGAATTCATTTTTGCATGGTAAACGGATGTTCAAGTTATGTCAAAGAAAGTTCCATTTACCTGGGTTTCTCTGAAGACATAAGGACCCATTTCTCTTGGTCTTTTATCCATGATCTTCTCAGCCATCTCAGGAGTGATATCAATGTGAAGATTGGGAGGAATTTCAGACATGATGAAGCAGCGAAGGATGGCTTGTATCTTTTGTTGGATGATAGACTCATCACTATGGGAGTGGTACATATCCTAAAACAGATCGCAAAACAATGTTGTGAAAAATCAATCAAAAAATTGAACTGTACCCAAGATATTTAATCCACGTGAACAAAACATTTCAGTAAAGTAAGTCGGAAAATAAGAAAATACTTCACACAAAACAGTAAGCCAAATGAGTCAAGAACAACGTTAAGGTCTCAGACTACATCCCTTTAGTTACACACCCTTAAGGATATCCTGACAGTTCAAATCTTGAATCGACTGACCTTAAATTTCTGAACCTCCAGCCAAAAAAGTACATCATTTTCCAAGTTGTCTCCCTTGACAGATACAAATTTCCTGAAGTGACTGCATGTGACGGGGTTCATCAAAGCCTGGCGGAAGGCGATGATGTCACGAGATGATGACACCCATCGTCCTTCAAGAATCTGTGAAAAAAGCACAATCAGATTTTATGAGATCAACACAACAGAAATTATTAACCAAAATTTTAGATAAACTTGAACCCATCAATAATCAGGGGTGGACATGATTGGCCACTTAGAATTAAAACTGAAAACAGCTATCAAAAAACTGAAATGTAAACAGTTCCCATACTTTTGTACAGACCAGGTATACAAAAAGCGGACAATCAGAGTCAACATCTTAACAAAAAAAGCTGAAATCAGCTCAAAAGCTGAATTCTAACACCCCTGATATTATTTTGCGAACCGAAAGTCACATTGTGCTATCAGTGAACTAAACTCAAAGGGACTGACTCACCCTATAGATAGCCATGGAACGCAGTTTCTTAGCATTCATAACATCATTCACCACGTCCTCCATTTTGATATGAGGCCGCTGTCTCTCCTGGAAATCTTCTCTCTGAAGGAACATAGGAAGCCACTTTCGCTCTAGGCGTTGACGGACATATTTCTGAGCTTCTATCAGGATGGGGTCAGGAGGTCGATCTAAAAGCAGTTTGCCCCAGCCTCCACCAGCTTGCATCACCTGAAACAACGTTGTAGTAACATCAGTTACTTCATTCTTTTACCAAGCCTCAAACTGTAATAAATTATTCTTTAAAAGAACAAAACATTACTGTTTTGGGTCATGTGCTGATATAAACTTACCAGATTCTGCTGAGGTCTTGTAGCTGGACTGTTGGGACCAAAGAAATACTTCTTATTCAGATACCTTGTCTTGATATCCTTGGCTTTTGTGTCCCGTTTGTTGGCATCAAGGTAAGGTGTACGGCGGAAAGATTCTATGTCCATCCAACACATCAAGTCAGTAATGGCGTAGTTATCCTCTGGTCAAACAAAACAAAAGAACGAAATTACTTTTTCCAAACAAAATTTGGAAGAGAAACTCAGACAGTGTTAGGCTACCACATTTTTATCAATTCCACAGGTCTGTGGTGCATGGCCAGAGAACTGTCAACAGTGAAGTACACCTTAATTAGAGCAGTATTCTCTGCCAATGTGAAATATTCTCAACCCAGAAAAAAAACCTTGAAACTAACCTAGGAAGTTGCGGAAGTGTTCCAATTCCAGCCGATTGTGGATGAGTTTGTTGAAGTCATAGTCTCTGAACTCCTCAGGGATCTTCTCTCTGAGTGCTTGGTAATAAGCTTCCTGCTTACTCTCATCATCCTCATCCAGCATGAAGTCAGGTGTAGAGATTCGCTAAGACAAATCAGTACAGACAGTAAGCCATTACATCTCAAACAATTACTTGTCATGGGGTGAGGTCTCTTGTAGCTAAATTATTGGGCCCATGTTCTGTGAATGCAACATGCGGAGCCCAAAGTAGGACATCCTTGGTATGTCTACTCCTCGATTTACTTACCTCTTTGATGAAGCCTCGTCTTGTTAGATTCTTCAGCTGTCTGGTATTCATTGCATCCAGCTGTCTCTCCTCAGAGATTAATTCAATCTGATGAATGAAAGACAAATACAGAATCTCTGTCAACATAAAGCAGTGACAGTAAACTTTCATCTCTTCCATATTTAACTTGATGATTACAGGATTTCACTACTCAATTTAACGCACTTCCATCTGACAACACGACAAAATGCACTAAAACTACCAACCTTATTGTAGAGGACCATATCACTACCCTTCATCTGTGACCAAGGCTTCACTAGCATTTCCAGAACATGTTCCTCTGCACCATCAAATAGTTCCTCGAATGGAGGAGACACTTCGCGATAAATCTGAGCCCGGACAGCTGAGGAACACTCAATGTCATAAAAGCAGCAATGAACGATGTACTTAGAATTGATGGCCTGGAATGGTAACAAAAAATTTTAAACTCACTACGACAATTAAGATCATAAATTAATTTCTATTTTGTAAGTTCATAAGTTTAAAATACAATCCCATCCAGGTAGAACATGCACAGTCTTGATCCACATCTCTCTGAAAAGAACATTCCAAAATGCCTCCAACTCAAATGTGACCGTCAAAGAGAAGCTGCATTTGGGTGATCATTGTCATGGAATCTTGCAATACCTACCTGAGCTTTTCTATGTAGACTAAATGAATCAAAGACATCTGCATAGAAGAGTGCATGGTAATCCTGCAACTCATGCCAACAACTCAGGCAGTTGATGAGAGTCTGGAATCAACAAAAATAACAACATATCTATGAATCATGAATGAATCTAGATGATTTCCTTGATGATTATGTACAAATGAATGACAAAGTGATTTTGCTTTTTTTTTTTTAAATGCTCATTGGAATATACATTCATGTGAATTTTTTTAAGCAATTACACAGATGAGTGTTGTATAAATGCAGCAAGTTATTCAAGAATAAGAATCAAACATCACACATGAATAGTACAAATTTAAGGGAAGCCTTTTCATGTGTAGGTTCAAGGAGCCCCATTTTACTCTACAGATCTCAATACTCACAGGGTTGTCTAGTTTCTCCAGATAAGCCATGAAGAATCCTCCTGCCTTCTTTTCATGATAAAGTCCCTCTAATAAACTCTCCATTCGATTTCCTCCAAGGAACTCACTTTCCTCTGTGGCAACACTACTTGATGTAGAGGAGGCAGAGCTTGGTCGCTTGGGCTTGTAGGGTGTGTTTGGTCTAGGATGGGAAGAAAGGGTATCCATGTTTCAAATCTTCATACACCAGATCTTCAGATGTAATACACATTCACTCCAATAACTGACATTTATAAATACCAAACTATCAGATTATCACAACAAAGTCTCAACTTCAAATCACTTCTTACCTTGCTTGACTTTTCTCCTGCTCCTTCTCACCAACAATTTCCTCAGCTCCTATAGTCACTGATCTTTCTTGGTTCATCCCACTGCTACCACCAAATCTAGCATCTCCTTGTTCTAGTATTTCAGAAGCTACATCCGCAGAAGCAGTCCGGCTGCTGAGATTCTTATTAATTGAACGGGAGTCAACAGGTGGAGGCGATGTAGGAGGGCTAGGTTTCATCTTGGACCCAATGCTAATGGTAATCTTTCGAGGTGTTGATGGAGAAGCTGTCTTAGAGTGATGAGTAGGCTTCTTGGGAGTGACTGAAGTCATTAAGCTGGAGATGGGCAGACTGGGCAGCGTCTTGCTGTGTTGGGATTGGCGGCTTTGAGGGGGACTTGGAGACGTCTTTCTTCTATTTGATGCCTGCATGAAATGACAAAGGTAGCTTAATGTTAAAAAAAATCATGATTTTGAATACAAAAGGCAATACATGTACAAGAATAAAAAACACACCTATCATATGTGCAACACTTGCATTAAAGTGTCTTCTTCCATGTCAGTAACATCTTTTCTTTCCTGTTTGGCAATTTTCACTTTTGTGCATTATAAAAGAACCACATAAATCCAACATTTCTTGGAAGAATAAATGCTCTGTACATACTTCTGTTGGAAGAGCTATACTGTGTCTAAGTTTTGGCCAGCATGTCTTGGGTCGCAGAGGTAGAAGAGTGACAGTCCTAGGCTCAGGATGGCTGCTGCTGCTGCTGCTGTTGTTGAGAAGCTTCTGGTAGTTGTAGATCTGATTGGTTGTTGCTACACTACTGCTGCTGCCAGTGTACATTTCCCGCATTAGGAATCGAGGAGCCCTAAAAGAAATTAAGACAAAACACATGTACATGTGATCCAGCGTTTTTGAAAAATGGTGGTAAAAGGCCCTGCTGTCTGTTACTAATCTTGGAATAAAAAAATTAACATTAAGCTTTGAAACTCTTGTTTGTGCGCAATCATTGTTAAACCACGTACTCCACAAAATAAATGAAACGACAGACAAATGTGTGCCAAGTATGGCTGTTTATTCCTGAAACTATCCCGGACACTTTCAGTCGCATGTTAGGAACTGGAACAAATCAAGGAAATTTAAGAGGAAATGCATATTTATTTCAAACGAATAAAAAATCTTACCAATATAGGAGAAGTGGTGCAATAATGTTGGGTTGTATCTTGGCTAATCTGTCGATACTTGTCCATTTGGATGGTGCATCAAGTCTGAGAGACTGCAATACCTCTCTTGGCAGCTCACAAACCCCACCAGACTTCAAATATTTATCTCGTAACTGGCCCAAAAAACTAAAAGTAAAAGCAAAACAAATAAAATAAAATATCACTGCACAAGGTTTAGGGATATTGTAAAATTGCTGCAAACATGACATATTGAACAATACCTAGGATTGGTACAACACTATAGACCAAGGAAACATCATACAGCAACTTGAAACAGAAGTGATCCAAACAGCTATGTTACTATGTGTACGTATATATTTTCTGCACTATAATGAATGCATTCAATGAAAAGCTGAAGTAACCAATGCACGGTCGATATTAATAACCAGAATTTACAGGTTGTGTTTTAATCTTGGACCTTTTTTTCTCAAATTTGGGACTTGAATAATAATTTGGGGGTTTACTAGGATTCGCTAATGCTGAATTGATAACAATAAGAGAAATGACTTCAGTTTGCTTAACCTAACTCTAAAAGACGGAAATGACACCTGCTAGAAAAATTTCAATTGTGTGTTTTGTTGATGACTTACTGTTGTTGCACCTCTGTGTCATCAATCATACATCCACGGTCCACATCCAACCATAGGTTCCAAATTTTTTCTCCTGCTGTACCCCAAAGAAATCTTTTGAACCCATCCAATCCTCTTTTGTTACTCAAATCAAAACTATATCTGAGCTTCGAGAAGAATGGGTCCTTAATTTCATCAGTGTCATTCTCATTGTCACTGTCAAATAAGGAGTCCTCTTCCACATCATCTTGGCCCACAGTTGCTAGAGATATTCGACTGTTTGTCCTCAAGTCATCCTGAACATCCAAGCCATTTTTCAGTATTGATGGCCTCTTCTGTTCCATGGATAGAGATACCTCCATGGTGTGCAATGCCTCTTCAGTCAAATCAGCACTACAAACATCAAGTGCCTTCAAAATATTCTCATCAATGTAGGTATCGATTTCATCTTGGGATAGATCTGTTGCCATTGTAATGGCAGACTTAATAGCAAAAGACACGACAACAGTCGCCATGTCCTCCAGAGTGGAGACTCGGATCGGTTGTGGCTGGAGTTCGGGTAAGTCTTCTTCATTTTCGTTATCGCTTACATTAAGCTGTTGACTTTCAGCATCAAACCCACTCTCAGTACTCAGTTTTTCATCTTCTTCAACTTCATCCAGTGACTCCTCTGCTGATACTTTTGGTTTGGATTCAACTGTAGCTACATGCACAGGACCACTATAGCTTCCACTGTTTCTGACATTCTCTGCAACCATACAAGAATCATCACCGATAGGAGGTCGCCAAACAGGTGGTGAGCGTAACCTGTGAGGACTATGAAACATCTTGTCACTGTTAGGAATATCATCCAAGCTCACTGGGTCGAAGTTGGAGTTACTGAAGGAGTCTTGTCTCCAGGGGCTTCCAATCCCACTGTCAGCTGTCACTTGATCCCAAATACTCATTGATGAGCTGAGTGGCCGACCACTCAAAGGCCGACCACTCGCCGGTCGTGAGCTACTGAAACCATCTGAACTCCGTGGCTGTACTGAATTGGTAGTGGTTGTGCTAGATTTCATCTTAACATCACTAAACCATTCCTTGGATTGCGTAGGGTGAGCTTCTCCCATGCAGACAAACATTTGACGCATTGCAATACCTTGCTCATCCACTTTAGGTTGTTCAACAACTGGTGGTTTTTCAATAGCAAATGGAGTGTAGGTAGGATCAACATACAGGTGAATGGGCACGTCACTGTCTTTAGCAGCAATCTACAAAAAAAGAAGTGCGTCCTTGTGGTTATATCATCTCAATTTTACAACCCACTCTTCCTATAAACTCTGCACATGGAAAAAACTGTTGGCACATGCAATTTATCTGTGCAAGTTAACAAACACAAAATTAACACACTGTACAAATATACAACAGGCAAACTCTTCCTCGTTAACCCTAACACTCCTCAATCCTTCACCTGTTGGAGGACTGAAGAGTGTTAGGGTTAATACTAGCTAGTGATCTTTGTCTAAGAAAAAAGAAGTCATTTTTCTTTTTTAATTCAACAGGTCTAACACGTACAGTCCACGCAATTGTACTTACCTCTACCTGTGAGACAAGTTTGGCCAATCTGAATTCCAAGTAAGTATCACTCTGCAAGAAAGCCGGTAATCTTTCCTCTTTAATCCACTTAATTCCTTGCTCCTTGTTGAGACACTACCAAACAAACAAATTCAAATACTTTTTACAATTTATATTTCATGGTTTACATTATCATACATGTGGATGCTTTGGACATACATGTAGCAGAATAACTGGTAGAGCAGCCTTCAAATGACCTCATTTCAAGTCCAAGCAAGTCAATTATTTGTGGCTGCTATAACTTTCCATCAATGGGCGAGTCACTCTAAGCCATAGCCAGTTTGCTCAGACACAGCCAATGAATGTCCTCAGTTCAATGCCGGAAGCCAACGGTTTGTGTCTGCTGTTACCTTCCATTAATGGGCATGCTGCTCTAAGCCATTGCCAGTTTACTCAGACACAGCCAATAGCAATAAACCAGCCAGATTTTCTTCAATTGCACTCATTACAAAGGCTCTATAATCACTAAGCTAAACAGTATCACCTTCAGGTCATAAACATTGTCCATATACCTGCACCATGAAGCTGGTCTTCACATCAAAATCTTCCTCTGTATACAACGGTCCACTTGGCAGCTTCGCTCCAAGTGGTAGTTTCGACTTCATGAACTTTTTTGTAGCAGTGTATATCGGGTTGGGTTTTTGCTGGGAGCGGACCAGAGATCGAATCTTCTCCTTCAGAGCCTGCTTGGCAGAAGTCACTACCTCAAAACCACGCTTTTCCTTGTTGAAAATGAGGGGTTCTGGAAAGGTCTGTTTAGAAGAATAAATAAACAAATAATCACTGCATAAAAAGTGACCTTATTCTAAAGAAATTATACTAAGAAAAACCATTCATCAATCAACCCGAAGCAACTAATCTGTTTTTCCTAAAAACCTCTGAAACTAAACTTTGATTCTTTCTAGAAAATACCGTATAAATGTCCTGTTTATATTGGAGTCATTTGGTAAATGATTTGAAACTAAATAACACATAGGCAAACATCAAACACCTGTACTTCAGTCATTGTTATCGCTGTTACCCTCAATCGTTTTTGATACTCAAGGTTTTGGAGGAAAAATTTCCACACTTACAGGAAGCTGAAGGAATGCATTGAAGTAGTCAACAAAGAGGTCATCAGTGGCCAAGAAGTCCTCCTAAAGTAGACAAAAATTGAGTACAAGTAATTGAGGTTGCTGTTCTTTAGCCACAATATCAAAACCAGATAGAGGCATTCATCAAAATGAATATTATAACAAATGGAAGCAGAAGTATCACAAGTTAAACAGAAAGGATGAGAAGTATCCTCGGCTGTTTGTTTTCCCACTGACAGAGAAATTCTTGTATGAATTAAGTGCTTTCTCTTCCTAGAAATTTGCCAAGTTCATTATCATCAAGCCAATTCAAATTCCTTGTATCTTCATCATGATTCGTAAGCCCGAACTACCTCCATGGCATCCCAAGGCCAACACAAATGTTATTAATATCAACTGTTTTCCAATGCATGGGGTTCAATGCAGCAAAAAGCCAACTACTGTATCTTTCCTGAGCCTCAGATGTGGGCTGGAAATTGAATTGCTTCCAAATTACCTCATTAATTCACTAAATGGGAAATACCTCAGTGGAAACAGATATGCATAAACCATACAGTCAAGGTTAAATGAGCCTGCGATGTATTTACATGCATTAAATATTTTTTACGTCTCATTGAAATTTACAGATTGCTTTGTTTTGCTATTTTCTACATTCCAAGAAATTCCCCAAAAAACCCAAGTCCGAGTAGGAACTGATCCAAGCTAAACTGTACATTCAGAACCTATCAAGAACAAAAACAAAGGCAACTTCCATCAAGTGTTTAACCACCATCCGGCTCTCCTAGTTAACATTCTGTCCTTTTCCAATCTAATTAGGAAATTCTTGATAACATAGATCCCAAGGAATTCAATCACAGGACAGAAATCCAACACCTCAACAGGAATTCTACACTTAGTAATAAACTTGATTTGAAGTACTGGTACAAGTAAAGGGTAAAGCCTGGCTGTGCATACATGTACTCTGTCCCACTTTGTGTTTACACAACTGTTATGGTGGGGTATATGAAGTTGGATAACTCTACCAGATAGCTTTTTTTTACAGTCCATTTCCTTGGTTATGCCTTTCTTAATCTGTGATGCTGGGGGTTTTTAGTTTAATTGTTTGATTTGTTTAGTGTCTTTTTTCCATGTTAGTATGTAATAATTTGTTTTTTATGCCATCATAATTAGCAGTAAGACTTACTGACAAGGCTACCCTGATTAAACAAAACAAAAATTAGCTGAGAAGAACACAAAGAATAAATATCCCTACATGAACAAATGTACAGTGTATGTACACGTACACTGAACTTGAAAAGATTTTCAGACTGGGCATTAATTATCTTATCAATATTTAGCATGTATACACATATCCCTAGGCTTCATTCATCCATACATGTCCATACATGTACATGCATCAAATAAATATTATTCCAAATATCTCCCTTGTCTTTTAACTATAAAACATTACTTTCAAAACTGTTTGCTAACAGGAATGTACTTGAAGGAATTTTTCATTTAAGTAATCTAGAAATTCTGAGCAGTTTTGCATTTCATGAGAAGTGAATGGTGACCTTTGCCTCCAAGGCCTGAAAGTGAGACTTTGGAAACGATTCAAGATTCCACCGGCATGTGCTCACAGAAAAAAAATTAATTTGGCTTGCCGCACAAGGCCAGGCCCTCTCAAGAAATGGATTGAATTGCTGAAACTTTAGATGACATCAGACACACTGAGGACAAAGGACAGTGAAACACTACAGCCTATCAAGCTGTGACTGCCAAGAGCAAGTGACTTAAACACTGCAGCCTATCAAGCTTTGACATTGCCAAGAGCAAGTGAGTTTTGAGTTCAATCAAATCAAAATCAAGGGGGAAAAAGCATACACAGTACACTTTGATAGAATTGGCCAACTCAGTGATGTACAAAAGCTACCAGCTACATGTACCTTGCCAACATTCAATTGCACTGCTTTGAACAAAAACCTCCAATGTCATCACAACAACCTGCCAATAGCTCCAAGCATCATTCCCTGCTACCAGTACCTGCGCATATAACATGCACTTGAAATATTTTAACCAGACAATGTGACCCAGTTCCTCAATCGTTGCCAGGGTTAATGTTCAGGCTTTTAATGGGCAGTTGCAACTTTGAACTTCATAAGCAAGTAAATATCAGAATCCATCAAGTGCCAGCTCTTTGGCCCTGATAAATTATGTCAGTCAGCTTCAAACCATTAAGGGTCAGCTCTTGAAATAACTGCAACACAGTAGCCTTGTTACTATGGTGACATCCACAAATTGGCAAGGCCATTGCTCATAATTTAGTCAGCGGGCGCAACATAATTACAAATAACCTGAAAGGTTTTCAGAAAGTGGGACTTACAAATGCAGTTTCATTTTACAATTTAACATATATGTACCGTGGTATGCATAAATGTAATAAATAGACTTCTTTCATAAATTTGAGATAACATGTACATTTAGTTTATTATGACGCCATATACGTATTGAATTTAGGTACACGTAACTATAGTACGAACATTATTTTTTTACGAATGCATGTACAAGGACCTTGTAAATATATTTATGCTATTTGTGTTTTGAAGGAAACATGCTTTTAGACACAAAACTAGGAAATACAATAATTATATAGTTAAAGAAGTCTGAAATTACCTTTTGCACAATCAAAACTTTCAAGACATTTCTGCCTTAAAACATAAACCGAAAAAAGAAATTTGTCCAAAAAACAATCTGCCTTATGGCATTTGGAACAAACAGTAATTACAAGCTCATTAACTGCCAACTATCTACCCCTCTGCAAAAACATCCTGGTCAGATGACATGCCACAAAAGCAAACATTGACACTTGATTGAAAGGTAAACATAGTAGAAGACAGATGATTAAACAATGCTGACTGTTGTTAAGTATACATGTGTGGCAATTTCCTGCCACTCAATTCTGTTCCTGCTCCTCTTTCTTTTCTTTTCCTTCTTTTTTTTCTACAACTTCCCATTAAAGTATGTCTTCTATTTGTCGTACACTGAAGACTCATGGCATTACATTTATTCACACTGATAAACCCTAAACTACCAAGATATTTAATTAGCAATTTGAAGATCCCTTTAAATCAGGAACTTCCTAACCATTATGTAACTTGAAAGGTCAAACCTTATTTACCGGATTTGAAATCCAACATCGATCTGACTGAATATTTTTTTTCAAGGAAACAGTCAATATAGTCTGGTCTTTTGACCCAACTCAGACCTATGGACAACACAGGACTGGTATACCAACTGTTGCTAAGGGGATGTCAAAATGTCAAGAGGGTCAGTTATTGTTCCTTTGTTACTATGGCTGGGTGATTGACAGATGAGAGCATGAGGTGCCATAGTGATTTTCCTTCTGCATGTGAACTGCAACAACCTCATCATTTTCAAGATGTATTTTTGCGTTGGGGAGATGTTAATTATATATAACGGGTTTGCCCTTACTAATTAATATACGTTAATAATATAATATTAATATACGTTGGGTAAGGGAAAACCCGTTATATATAATTAACCTCATCATTACCAAAAAAACACATTACACAAACATTTTGCAAAATCGATTCCAATACCCCAAATAATAAAATAGTTAACCCTATCAACCAGCAGTCGCTATACTGCCAGTTTCAGGTCTACCAGTAGATTTGAAGCATTTTTTTAAATAGAAAAATGTACTTTGCCAGTGGTGCAAAGAGCTGATCAAGACTACATACTGGACAAAAATGAACAATAAGCTGAAGTGGAATTACTGCTCATAAAAAGTAGCCACTGTCAACGATAGTAATATGGCATCAATACAAAGGTTGCTACGACAGGAGTTATTTGTATCAAGGGTCACTGGTACTTTTTATTACATGGGGATAAGAACATACATTGTACAATGTAGACCTTAAATACATTCTGCCTACTACACAATACAGCGAGCTTTAAACGCAAACAGACAATTTTATATGATTTCCAGATTTTGAAGACCAGGCAGGTGAATCATGAACAAACCCAATGGAGGCTACGAGTGCCTCGTTAGCTGACTAATGCATGCATAATACTTGTAGTCAAAGGTTTTGGGAAAGATAAGCCTGAATAATTGAGCAGTAAACTTCTGAATATTTCATCATTATGGATCAGGCCAGGGAAATTTGGCTGGTCTTTGAAGCATTCTACTGCAGGATGGGCCTGGCAATTATGCAACATAAGGAAGCCTCAGAGTGTTTCAAAAATGAGTTCAAACAACTCCAGCTTGTTACCGTATGACAAAATGGCAGCAACAAGATCTGTAGAACAAGGGGTATTCTGCACAAATTTATAAATCTAGTACTGTCTACTGGGTTTTCCAAAGATGTTCTTTGCATTGGGCAGAAGGGATTGCATTTCACATTTATGATGCATTTTACCCTTTCGTCGATGTATTTTTATAACACTGTATACTCAGTATAGTCAGTGTAGTCCAAGAGCTGGCAAAAAAGTTTTTATGATGTCACACATTCAATGATTGCTCTGCTTATGTTACGATTAATTTTTTTACACATTTTCTGACATATTTACTAGTGTCGTGCCTTGAGCCACATCTATACTATTGTACGTACAACTGATTAGCCTGGCTAATATTTTGGATGGCCCCTGATATTTTTTAAAAATGGAACTGGCTGCCCCTTGTGTCTTTGTCAATCTTAAGATTCTCAGATGTCATGAAAAAGTTAATTTTAAGCGCACAATTAAAGAAACGGTTCAACCTCTCTCATCTATAAAGATCCTCTGATTATCAAGCAACAATACCGTACTCTTTCAAGATTCCAAAGGTCTTGAAGTTTACAATCCTTATCATTCACAAGACAGCAGTCACTGTGACATTGGATCACAAGCAACAATGAGTACATGTACCGTACTGACCAAATAAATGTCAGTTTCTGAGTTACAGATTCCAAAAACTAAAACTTCAGCTTCTAGTGAACTTTTCTCCAAAACAGTCTCATTGCCAGTTCTCACAATATATCAACACTGAGTGTATTTGTAAAGTTGCACCTTTTCACATTGCAGACTTCTCATTGTGTGCATGTGGATTAAAGTAGGATTACCTTAAATAATGAATTCCATTAGAATGTGTAGAAAGGGATTAACAGAACATATTGAGAATATCCTTGGATAAATAACTCTTCCAGGCCTGACTTCTCTTCATCCCCACCTCCAACAAATCTATATTTGCCCAACAGAATTTTTCCAACCAAACCACTTTGAGAGCCCACACAGATGCCTAAAAGTTTCTCACTTCCCAAGGCCAACAGAATTGTGTGCGGAAAATATTCTTTCTAGTACTAAGCAGTGGAACAATGGTTGTGTTTATCTGTTTGTCAGGTGAAGTTGTGAAGAGGAAAGTGAACTGCAAACAGGCAGTTGTTCAAATCAACTTTAAGTGGAGTTGCAATGCAAACACCCACTCAACTCACTACTAACCCCACCTCCTTAAAAAATTACAACTACAAGTGCATACATGTACATGTACAGGCATATCTTTATCATGACAATCATCACCAAATTTTCATGCACATTACATTGTACATGTATAAGAACTACTTGAAATAAATGTGGAGTTAATATACATGTAGGTAGTGTCCTGTCACAGAGAATCTTTAGGGAGGCTTCAAACCACACAGTTAATTATTTAAAGGAATATTCGACATTTGACAATGCAACTATATGAAAAAGAACTCACCAAGTCATCAGCAGTCACCACTGGTGGAACTGTCAACAAATAAGAATAATAATTTTAAATGACTGGATCTATATCTTCTACTCAGACAGAAAAACTGAGGTAAGGGCAGTTCACTTTCAATTAGAAAAAATCCCCTTTTGAGAATATTGACCAGGCAAATTGATCAAAATCTTATCATTTAACCTAAATAACTCATACTCCAATAATCCTGTTGGAATGTTATCAACTGTGCCAAACACTTAACACATTTCCTAATCTAGAAACTTTGGATCTTTATTGAAATGCAAGCTGCCAACATAGTGTATAGGGATCAGTTTTTAACAAGCATAGAGAACCAAAGGTCATCAACCACACAATTGACTTCATCTGGAACAACAAACACTGAACTAAGCAGCGAAGCCTCACAGACAATAGAAAAACTAATGTCAAAGACAATTTCCATTCATCTGCTGTCAACAAAAAAATTACTTACAACATTAGAATTACTCATAATTTGGTTCGGTTGAGTGAAAAATAGGTAGGTATTATGTACCGGTACGTAGGAAAAATGTACTGAACTTGATTCCAGTGAGGCTGTTTGGTTATTTAAATCAACCAAAAATATTCAAGTCAAGAGGTACGGTACATGTATTTGAAATGGCAGTGAAAAAAACCCAGCCTGTACAGACGTCATTATTTACTCCGGCAGTCTGTTGAAAGATATATCATTTGGCAATTATTGACAAATTATCTGCCCAGGATTGGGTGTCCACTGCTGCCATGGCAACAGGGAAATAGATTGGAGGGTATTGTTTACTTTGATCATTGTGCTAAAATCTGTGTGTGCATATTCTATTTCAAACACTTCTGTTACTAAAGCACAGTCCTGCACGCTACATGTGGGAATCATTTGAAATACTGAGCAAACTTGTCATATTACTCTCAATAGGTTATTTACAATGTAGGCCTACCGGTACACAGTGCTACCCGGCTAGAGGCCAGAATTTTTCAAAGTAAAAACGTCCTGACTGTATTTTACAAGTAGCTGTATGGCATTTCTACTGCCACTTATCAACATACGGATAGTGTGGGTGTACAAACACTATAAACACCTCTGTAATCAGCAACAAATGTCAAATACTGCTCGCCTGTAGTTGCCAGATATAGCCAAATAGTCTGTGTAATAATGAACACCGCATATTACGTGAACCACTTATCAACTTTCTCCTCCTTATCTAATTTAAAGACCAACCCAATTTTTCTTCTGCCAGCATCCTTCTTTCTTAACTGGTGCATTTACAGTAGTGTCTAACTTAGTCATGTCATCCTTGACCAAGTCAAAGTGATCAATGCACACATAAACCCTTAACATAAGCTCCAGTCTTAGAACTTGAGTCCAAACAACTAGGTATTTCATGCATAAAGTGATTTTAATCAGCTCCCAGGAACCAGTAATAAGTTTATTTTCATCAAGTCCTCCCTGCGAGACAAAATAAACAAAGCGTCTTAATGATACAGAAAAATGTGATGAAACAGGGTTTCTTTTTAACACAGTGTCCAACATTTAACATCTCTTTCAGGCATTCAAAATCCATTTCCAACTTTCACCAGCATTGGGACTTTATACAAAATTGATAAACTCATCAGCTTACCTATGGATATTTTTTTCTGGGGCATCTTGATTGTTCTCACAGCTGTTCAGAACTCCTGGGAAATGTACATGTTGATCATGACTCCAGGGTCCGCCAAAACGCAGTATTTTGTTCCACAGTAAAAATTAGGCCGATACTCCAAAACTGACAAAAGACTCAGATGTGTTTGCCCTTGCTGGAGTTTTCAGTTTAAAAAATCTCCATCTGAAATAAATTAATAATATTCAAATATTAGCATGTACATACACAGTAATGGAGTGCTGGAGTCAACTCAAGGTGTAACTTGAGCACAATGAGTAGCCCGAGCTCTAAATGTTCATGGCGTGGGGGGATGCACAAGCCTCCCATGAATGTCAGTAACATTTGGGCTGTGGCTACCTAGGCTAGGAAATGACTCCTGTAAACTCCACTGCTGGCAGATAATGTTGTGAGAGCATTTTTCCGTAAATTTCTACACAATGCATAGAAATTTCTCAAGAAAAAAGCAAACACATTTAACAAGGACAGAATGGGTGAACAGTAAATTTTTATGCAGAGGAATTTCCTTTTAAAGCAACTATAGCCTAACCTTAGTCAGTTTACAGAATTAGACCTAACCTATACTTACAGGCCTAGACCTACTAGTTCCCAGAAGTTTCAGACTGGTGTGACCAAGGATGAGGATCCTGCCTCCTTGTTAATCTCCCTAGACTAGCCTTGTACTGAGTAGTCAAGAAAACAGGAGGAATTTCTACCAAGTACCAGGCAGGACAGCGCAGGACAAGAATAAATTTAAACAAAATTAACAAGGAATTGTATTTGATCTCGAGTTTAAGGTTAAGTCAAAAGTCCTTATATTCTGACACGCTAATTTGATTGCCGTTGTTCTTAGTAGCTGATAAATGTGCTTAATAAAAATGATAACAGGGACTGCTTGATAGAAAGACGTGAGTACTAGTACTAGGCTACTGTTACTGTGGTAGGCCTAGGCCTACTTCTTTTAGAAGTTGTAGGCCTAACTAGCCTCGTAGGCCTATCTCCAAGACATGCAGGGAGAGCAAGACTACTTGAAACTTGGATTTCTAAGAAGTGTAGGCCGATTTACCTTAACTTTAACAGTCAGAGCTGCAGGACAAAAAATATCCAGTTAGCACGCCTGACCCAGACGTATAACCGAACACCAAGCACTGCCATAATATGATCACTTGCCGTTGCAGTGTTTTGTTGGCTAAAAACTCCACACAAATAATAAGCAGACCACCACACTGTCAAGTTATTGCCATACCGGCACCGCCACAGTGCACTCAGCGGATAACGATCAACGATCGCTTGGTCTGTTGCTACTGGCAATCAGGTCACTGTACCGTCCATGCATGCCGGCCGCGCGCAACCTTGACAAGCGAACAACTCCGTCAAAATGGTCTAGCGCCCTCAGTAGGTCTTTCAATCTTTATTCTTTTGGTGTTGCGTGTTTTGGCAACACAAACTCAGGCATTGGCCTCCCCGTTTTGAATTTTTTGGTTGAATTTGCAAAGTATTCAAAGAACAATAGGACAAGCAGTTCACTAACAACAGTGACAGGGTCTGAATGTTTTTTCCCGCCTAAGAATGAAAACAAATTTAACGCGAACTGAAATAAAAGCGTTTGTGAAATGGTGGAGTGGTTCAAACCGTCAACGCCATCCTTTTCTAATCCACTTTTCCAATCATCCATAGTTTCAGAAAAACAACCGCCAAAAAGAAATAGCGGACTCATCTTTTAGATTGAAGGATTCGTCGTCATTTAAAAATATTCCCAGAGTATTTCTCCTTGGATCCCCACTCTGGAGAGCAAAGGACCCTTCCGATAATCCTAAGTACATTTCCAATGGTAAAACACAAATAACCCTTTATTCCACACCAGCAGATTTAAACTGATAAACAGGGGTTTTTCTTTTAATGTCCCAACAACCCTGGTTTCTTTATTAAAATTAAGTTAAATCTCTTGTTGACCATACCAATTTTCTGTTACAAAACAATGCAAACTAGTGAGGCTTATAAAAGTAACTACAATGCCGTGTTTCATTGTAAAACCAGAATTCCTGTGCAAAATGTTACCATTCTAAAATTCTGGCAATGGTAAATATCACCGCATCTTGTAATCTTTTCACACACTGAATAAATAATCTTAAAAAATCAATTAACACTTTCAATCTAATAAAAACTGGAAAAGAAGAAGTGGACATAGTGGAAGGCATGAATAAGATTATTCATGGGTTTGTTTCAAACACTGTAAAGTAAACAAGACTGATTAAAATAAACTGGCCAACTTGAACTTGGAAGTAAGAAATTTTTAAACGATTTAGCTTCAGAGCTGTAGTATGCAATGTGCGTGTACAGCAAATATACAAGACAGAAAAATATAAAATCTGTATCAAACTTTAAGCCTTTTAAGTCTTTAAAGAAATCTGCAACAGTTACAATATTTACAACGTTGGTCAACTCCAAGTAATATCAATAAGACCCTTGAAAAAATCACTGTTACTGTGGAGTCTTGCCAGCAAAGGCATGTGGCAGTATTCCTCAGCTTTAGGATAGAATCACACTCATCAATATTCTTAAATGATCCTGTCAAATCTCAACATAAGACCCTAGCGCCTTGCAGACAGCTCGCTTCTCAGTAAACACACGCATCATGAAGGTTCCTGGAATATTTGGGTTGAATGTGGATGGAATGATGATGTAACTTCCTGGAGCTAGTGTAAAACGTCGATAAACCTGACGGTAGTTGATGAAGGACCCAGACCGGCCAACTTCTGATGTATCTTGGAGTTGTTGTCTACTGTGAGGATGATTAGGATCATCCGTCTGAAATTTAAAAGAAGAGTATAATGTCTTCCATTCAACAAGTAATGTTACATATTTTTTCCTACAAATGATGACAAAATAAAACCTCACTACATTTAAAAAGTTTCATTATACAAAGACGATTTAAATGAACTTAATTTTTCACATTGAAATACGTGTATCACTCTCTCTTCCCCTTTCCCATACATAGCAATGTTTTGAGCATACTTCATAGATCCTGAAGCCTATCTGTTGTCTCTTGGGTGCTAGGTTTTTCTTGCAGCGACGATATTCCTGGATGAGAGCTATAATGATGGAACATTTGCCTCGTTTCTCGTCTGAGTCAGTCGAGTGGAAATCATCTGGGGACCAAAAGTTTTAAGTGCTGCTACTGAGAGTGAAATCATGGGGTGGGAGTAAAATCATACTGATGTCAGAGGATTTGCCCCTGTTAGAGTTAAAGTAAGTGAAACTCCATCAATTCCTGAAACATTTGGCATTCCAAATATTCTATGAATATAAACATTTGAAATTTTTAGAGACTACACTCTGGAGAGGTATGGCGAAAAGGTCTCTTCACAGAAATATCAACATCTCTTACCTGGTTGTAAGAGAATGAAGCTAAACTGTGGATTGGTGTAGAATGTGTCATAGTTAGAACAACCACCTGCACTGACACTCTTAATCCAGTGTCCTCGCATGTCATAAACATGAAAACCTCCACCTGTAATGAATAAAACAAGCTACAATGACTTCATAGGAAACTATAATTCAACAAGGATGCTAACTCTGCCAATACATGTACTATGAACTCAAGAACTGTTAGCATTTTGAGCAAAGTTTAGTTTGCAAATCCAGGTAGATGTGGTAAGGTTAATAAAGGTTGGCAACATCATGTTTTCAAGACTTCAGTTTACAATGTCTTAATTTATAAATGTTTCCTAACCTGACTCATCAATGTCTGCTTTGCCGTCACCATCAAAATCTGGTCCCAAGGTGCACATTATGACAGAGTTGAACTTCTTACAGAAATCCTCAAAGCTCATCCTGTTACGAAAAAAAGTTGGGCTCTAAAATGCACACCTGAAAGAGGATTCATGAACTGTTAAATCTTAATACTTATGACCAGCTCTAAGTGCCACTTTGAAGTGGTATCTTATCTCCCTTGCTTGGTCCACAGAATTCCTCAATGTAAGCAGATTAACAGTACATCTGGATAAACAAAAAACAAATACCATTCAGTCATCATCAACAGGCTCAATAGTACCTGCTTTTGATCCTCAAGGCATCTATACTCACCAAAACTCTCCATCATCCTTACGTTTGGGATTCAATCTTTCTCTCTCTTCCTTCTCAAGTTTCTTCCACATAGATGAACTAGATATCATGAGAAAATGAAGAAAACAATAAAGTACACAGTATACAAAAAGGTTCTGTTTTTATTCAAGTCTGTACAAAAGTAACACAAGGAACTTCAACTCTCCAGGCTTCTTCTGCTTAGTCATTCTTCACCTTTTCTTCTTTCCTTCCCATTGCACGGGAGAAACTAAGCAAAAACACTGAAAACTAAGCTCCTTCGTATTGCAGAACCTACAATTCTGTTGCTTTGGACTGAGTTAAAAAAAATATTTCCATTGCCAATTTTAATCTTACTTATCACTCCAATCTCCTGTCCACTCAGTGCTGTTGCCCCACGGGTTCCTGACCCGTAGTAGTTTGGCAATCACTTCCTTGCTCTTTTTCTTCTTTTCCTGCTTCTTCTTTTTGTTCAAATGAACCACCTGAGAGTCAGTGATGGTGTAGGAATGGCCTGGTACAATGCCACTTTCATCCGCAGTCACATTCTGAAAGTCAGAATTCTGCAAGGGCAAGTTTGTAAAGAGAAAGGTCAGCTAAGTGGCATTTACAGCTTTTTTGAAGCTTAAAAATGGAGCAAATTGATAAAAGCAATTTACTTACAGCACTTGAATTAAAAAAAAACATCTTCCCAGAGCATGCAACTCCACAGGACAAAAACCTACTATTAAATTTAAAATCAAATGACAGCTATGCCTACGACAAACCAAACCACCAAATGTGACCCAGTACAGTACTCATTGCTTGTATCAGATTCAAATTTGTAAATGCACCCTTGTGCCACGTAAGCAATGTGAAATTGTACCCCCCCACCACCAGCTAATTCTAACCTTCTTTGAGCATGCCAAGAAGGCACATGTCTTGACTCCTTTGTAGAGGAGTGCATAAAAATCTGCTGAGACACTCTCTTGTGTGAACAAGAAGACTTCTGACAATCCACCTGTCAGATCAACGAAAGCATCAGCTGCCATACCACCACTCAATCCCTGATAGGTACCGTTCAACCTGCACAATTCAATTAAAAAATCACAGATTTGAGTTTATATTGACCAGCTGTCAAAGTGGTTTAAGTGAGTCAAGATTAGACAAATAAACCTTGATATCCAAATTAAACTATTTTCAAATAAAGTTCTTACTTTGCATAAGCCTTCTCCATCAGGGCAGGCCAAAACTCATTTTTCTCACTGGATGAAGCAAAGACCAGCCGGTTGTTCTTTGTGGGTAGTCTGTCATCTATGACCACATCTACCCAACGTCCAAAACGCCAAAACTTAAAGTGAATGGCTCCAATATAGCCTGGT